TCTTAAAGATAAAAACTACACAGCAGTGTTTGGAGTTCAATCTAACAAGTACTTGGCTTGCATGACAAGATTTCACTTGGGCTATCTTAATTTTTTTACATGTAAATTGTGTTGTACAAAATCTTTTGGCATGGTGTGATGTACGTAGCCAGTGTTTATTTTCCTATGCTTGAGAATCGTTCATTTGTTTTTAAATGGCAATCTATGATTGGTGCATATTTAACATGCAACATAGTCATGTGTTCCCAGGAATTCTGGGGAAAGTAGGAACATGGCCTCACATCTGAGCACCTCTTCGCTGGAACAGAGAGCTGGGCTCAATGATGCAACAAAGCTCAAAGTACACATTAGTTCTTAATTAAGCTGGTATTTAAGTGGTATGTACCCAGCCTGAAACTCAGAACTTCTCTTGAGTCTTTTGCAACATACCAATTCACTCTGACTGTAATTTCATCTTGTAAAAAGTTATCCTAGACAAAGCTATGCACTACAGTGTGCATCCGTCACCTTAGCACTGCGGGGCAGAGACGTGAAGATGCCTGGAGATCGTCGGCCAGGCTGTCTGACCCAGACCGTGAGCTCCAAGATCAGTAAGACCCAACCTACTTAAAAAGTACATCTGTATGTAAGTAACATGGAGAGCAGTCAAGGAAGGCACTTGATGTTGTCTACGCTCCATGCATGCATGTGTATACACACGCACATGCACATACCAAACCTCATCCACCCATCCCCCGAATTTGCCTCAAAAGAAATAATGAAACCAGGAAAAAAGCTGCACAGTCCTGAACGTTTCAAATGCTCAAAGTGTGGACAGTACCCAAGAGTAACGTCTTGAACGAAGAGAGAGAATGAGGGAGATACCAGCATTATGAGATCCGTCGTATGTCTTAGGGCATGTTAGGAGCTGCACCTAAGCTGTAGCACTTACATAGAAGTAGAAAAAAAACCCTCATACTTGGATGATGTTAGATTTAAGTATCAAAAACACATGTTTTCCACCCAACTTTCTCATGGATCACTCTGCTTTTCCTCTCACAGCATTCTAAAGAATAGCTACAAGTGTCTCAGCAGGCCATAACTGTAAAGTTGTAATGAATTGTGCTATAAAGATGGTGTTCCTTTTGGCTGCAGGCAGCTTAGACTGTTTTCTAAACCATGGAAAACTAGGTTGCGTTTCAGTTCCATAGAAATTAAAGTCAAGGTGGACTCTCTGGTTATCACATAATGCTAATGTGTTCCACATGGGCTTCCCTTGGAGTGAGAGATTTTAGTTGGAGATGTTGGGAAATTATGCCTAATTATGTCACCCATACTGATACTATAAACTGCCACTGGAATACTTCTAGATCAGTGGCCATTTGCTGTTTATATAAATCCCTACTTCCCATAATGAAAGACAAGCAATGTAAACGCCTCTCATATATCCTACTTCATCATGGCAAGGGTTACCTTTTGAGTCAGTGGTCCTCAAACACTTCTGAGTCAATGGTCTTCTGCTGCTTGAGCCTTGGGGTACTCTATTGACCTTAATAGAACTGCTTAGATTGTGGGGAGAGGCCTATCCCAATCCTATTTAATAGCATTGTATTAAGGTAGGTGTTCAACCCTTCTCAGGGTCCCTCCCACAAAACAAGGAACATAGTCACATGACCTCAACTTGAAAAAAAGAAATGCCTACATATAGTGCCAAGCTCTCTATGCCTGGTTCTGACAGGAAGTGGTACATGCAATAGCTAGTCAATGGAAAAAATTGCTGGCTCACTCAGTGAATAGATTATTTTCTTCTAAAAATATGCTGAAGAGGGGGTCAAGTTCATCTACCTTGTGAGGACAAAAAAAAATATGGGTGGGGAGGGGAACAATTAATCTTTTTGCTCAAATCTGTTTCAAAAACATCCTGACACCACCATTTCTTTTCGTGTGTGTGTGTGTGTGTGTGTGTGTTTGTGTGTGTTGCCTGTATCTTTCTCTGTGCATCATGCAAATGCTTGGTGCCTTTGGAGGCCAGAAGAGCAGAAGAGGGCACTGGATTCCCTGAAACTGGAGGTATAGCTTGTTGTGAGTTGCTATGTGGATGCTGGGTATCAAACCCTGGTCCTCTGGAAGAGGTGTTCCTATTCTCTAGCCTAGCCATTTGTTTTCACAAGGATGGCTCACTGGCGTGCTTCTGAAGTGAGGCTGCCCCCATAGCTGGCCTCCCTGGGAGAGATGTTACAGGAGGAGATGAAATGAGGCACCACACCCAACCCATCTTCAGAGTCTCTTACAAATATGATTTTTGTATGACTCTTAATAAGTTTTACAAAGATTTACGGAGTAGGCACCTTGTAACATTCTTATATTTTTAGAAGAGATTACTGAAGTATCTCCTCCGAACAGTAATTCACTTGGCAGACAAGTCATGTTAGTTGAATCCTGCCAATATTATAGACTGTAGAACAATATTTTTCTTTTATATAAAATGGATTTTTTTCAAACAATATGTTCTGGTTATGATTTTCTCTCTGCCCGCTCCTCTCAGTTCCTACCTACCTCTCCCCCATCCATATCTATACCCCTTCTGTCTCTCCTTAGGAAACAAGCAAGCATCTAAAAATGATAATAAATTAAAATATGATTATATCAAAAACAAATTAGAAGAGGGCAAAACAACTAAACAAGAAAAGAAACTAAAGAAAACACATAAGAGATACATATAGATGTAAAGGCACACAGGTTTACACACTAAAGAATCCCATAAAAACCCCAAACCAGAAGCTATAATATACATGCAAATGAACTGTAAAGTTGTAAAAATAATTACTAACAACATAATGAGGCAAAGAACCTCCGTGGCGTTTGTTTTCTGTCAGCCATCTACTACTGGACATGGAGTCTACTCTTAAGACTTTGTTTTTCCAGAGAAAACTAATTTTTCACTTGCAAGCAGCTATAAGTTGAAGATAGCTTTTTGAGTTTGGGGTGTGGGCATAAGTCCATTTCTCTTTTCAGCTCTTGATCCCCATGTGGTTCAGTTCCATAAAGAGCCTGTGCAGGCTGCCGGGCCTCTGTGAGACAATATGTGCACCAAGCCTGTTAAGTCTAGAATTCTTGACTCCTTGGTGTCCTCTATTCCCTCTGGATCTTATACTCTTCCCACATCCTCTTTCACAGGGTTCCTTGAACCCTGAGGGGAAGGATTTGATGGAGACACCTGATTTAGAATTGAATGTTTCAAGGTCTCTCATTCTTTACGTATTATCTAATTGTAGGTTCTGTATTTGTTTCTATCTGCTTCAGGAAGAGGCTTCTCTGAGAGGGCTGGTAAAGGCACAGGTCTATGAGTATAACAGAACGTTGTTAGGAGTCAGTTTACTACTTTACTTAGCAGAACAGTAGTATTTGGTTTACCCCATATGTTCCTGGCCTATGTAGTTTCAGGTTCTTGGCCACAGACAGAGTGTGTGTCACAATAAATATCTATGCTATCACAGAGTGGGCCGTAAATCAAATATTGGTTGGTTACTCCCACAAGACTTTTGCCATTATTTTTAGCAATATCTACTGTAGACAGGTCACTATTGTAGAACGATGGTTTTTGTAGCTGTATTAATGGTGACCTTTCTCCTCTGGTAGCATGCAGAGTACCTTTTAGTACCATGAGCATTAGTCAATAGAGATAAAAGTTCTAAAAAGATATCAGTTGGACTTGTCTATGTTGAATGAGTTGTGTAGGTGTTGTTTTCAGTAATAGGGCCTTGCCATCAGTTTGTGGAGAGCAGTCGATAGCTTTGGCAATAGCCTGGGTTGTTCAGAGGTTCCCAGGGACTTCTTTAGCCAAAAACTCAATTAGATGTAACTCATTCCCAGTTCTCAGTACTGGGAGCTTCATTGGGTGAGGCGAAATGTCCAGTTGGGGATCAGTTTCTCTCAATATTTGGGGATTACATCCAAGTGAAAAATAGGTCAATGAGCTACTCAGAAAATTCCAGGCCCACCAGGACATGTACCGTTGGCCCCATCTAGACAGCTGGCAGGCAGTGTTGAAGGGCAGGAGGCTCCTCCTACTGTTGATGACATTTGTTTTCTTCTGGCAGTCTATCTTTGGAGTCTCAGAGCTGAATCACCAAGGCAGTGGCATAAACTGACCATTAAGTATTTCTACTACAGTTTTATTTTAATAATTAGAGACATTTTATAGTTTTATAATTTTGATTTTATATCATTATTATTATTTATTAGTAGTAGTATTAGAGAGGGGGAAAGAGAGGGCACATAATATATCACACACGTAGAGGTCGAAAGGCAACTTTCAGGAGGAGTCAATTCTCTCCTTCTCCAGTGGGATTCAGGAATTGAACTCAGATCATCAGGCTTGTGTATCAAAAATTGTAACCCACTGAGCCATCTGGTCAGCCTTAGAATCTCCAATCATAAGAGTTTCTATTTCTTTGCTAATTTTTTTAAATTGATTACAAGTGTATTTTTCTTTATGTCTTTTAACCATAAATAAGGAGCTACTTTGAAGTCTGACTGTTCTGACATCTGGGAGTTGAGTCCCTGATGGTCTCTTCAGGGGGGTTCACATTCGAACAAGCATCTAATAGCAACCCTGCATCTTGTACTCATTTAGAATGTAGATACTTTCCTTGAGCAGATGGCTTATTTGATTAGATGTAAAGTGGAAAAGTGGCCATGGTAAGTGATAGCTCAGGATTCATCTAATCTTGTCTGTGGTCCTTCCTTTATACACTAAAACTATATTGTCCTCCAGAGGCAATTAATCTACTTTGTGGGACCCAGGGGGTTGGTTTTATATATTATGTGGTAGATCCTGGTATTTGGAAGATGTGGTCAACTTATTTTAATATTTTTCTTTTTAACCTCAGATTACATTAAAAATCCTCCACCTCAATATCTTTTTTTGCACATGTTATTTTATACAATATCTGTAACTATAAATAACTTTATTTTTAATCTAACATCACATCTAAGATGCTTTTTTGTTTGTCTCTTAGGAAAAAATGCTGCAAAGGATATAAATTTGTTCTTGGACAGTGTATTCCAGAAGGTATGTAATTTAATAGATGATTTCATCTTCCCTTTCCATGACTAATTACTGGAGCCTACAAAGTTTGTGTGCACATGGGATGTGTTAGCTATATGTACATTATGTGTGCCTAGTTATGGATGTGATTGTAATTCTCCTTTTTGATGATTGAATTCTTTGTGGTGTGCTCTGTGTGAGTCACAGACATGCTTAGATTTTGGTCCATGCTTAGCAAGCTGAAAACTCTTCTCAGGCATTACATGCACTAGTTGTAACATGCTCCTCTTCCTGAACTCTCTACCTACTCTCGTGCAGGAAACTTCAACTCCTGTAGATGATTTCTGATAGTGTCAACCAAATACACAGCCCAGCCTTAAAATTAGAAAGGTTGTAGGCATGGACTGATCCTCTGGCCATATGCTTCAAAGTAAAAGGACAGCAGGTGGATTGCATTGAACACTATGAACAGGTTTTAATTATGCTTTTGTATGCTATTTAATAGAATTTGGACGAATTACTTTCTAAGTGTTGGACGAATTACTTTCTAAGTGTTGGATTTTACAGTCAGGTTTTGCTATCAAGTCATACAAGCATCTGAAGAATTTTGCCATATTTATAGGACTTAATTCAGGGGCTGATTATTATAAAGTACTTGATGAGTGGTGGTTACTGTTGCCATTATTACAAATGTCAATAGGTACCACAAAGACATTAATATAAAGACACTCACAGCAGGCACAACACAGAGCATCAGTGGACAGAGAAAGGCTCAAGATAGAGAGACTTGAGTCGAGTCATCAATCAAGGAAAGCTGCCCAGGGCATAGGTAGGAGAGGAGTACTACAAAATATTCCAGACAAGGTATTGACATGGAAGACTGTCTGAAGAGCTAGGGTTCATGTTCTTGTGCTGGGGTGGGAACAGAGAGTAGGATATATGAATTAGCTTTCTTCATTGTTGCCCTAGAATCTGTGTCTCTTTTAGAGCAGTGGTTCTCAACCTTCCTAATACTCCAATCCTTTAATACAGTTCATCAAATTGTAGTGACCTCCAACCATAAAATTATTTTCATTAGCTATTTCATAACTGCAATTTTGCTACTGTTATGGATTGCAATGTAAATATCTGATAAGAGTTATTCAACCCCCAAAGGGATTGTGACCCACAGGTTGAGAACCACTGCTCTAGGACCCTAGGAACCCAGACAAGCTAACTCTGTTGCTTTATCTTGTGGGGCAAAATGTCTCCATCATCTTGAATCAGTTGACTCTCCCTGTTTACTGCTTTCTTGTACAGAAGGAAGAATTTGCTAAACCATAAGTGTACTCATTGGGAGGCTGTTAGGAGATAGATCCACACGTGATTTCTCATGTCTAGGTCTCTCTGAGCTGAACGGCTCTGTTCTGGTTGATTCTGTGTGTGAGAACCAGGTAGGAGGAAAAGCCAAGTAAGTCAGAAGATTTCCATCAAACCACAGCTCTTCTCGGTCACCAGCTGTATCATTTACGTTGCAACTTGGCAAATAGCAAAGGAAATTATGTATAGGCCTGTCAACTTAAGATCGTAAATAAAGATTATGTTCAACCTAATTAAAAACATATGGATACTATAGAGTTGGCATTTCTTTAAATGATAGGCATTGAAGTTTCAAATGCCTTGGCCAAAATCTAGCCTCCCTCACCTTAAAGACAACAGCACCCATGACTGGTAACACCAAGAACAGCAAGCATATTGCCAGGGAAAGTAGGCCACAATATTGTTGTATGCAACTAACTCTTTGTTCTATTGCTTTCCATCAGAATAGCATTTAATGTTTATTTATTTTAATCTACAGGAATAAACTGATTATTTGTGTCCTTTACTAATGACATCATTTGTAAAGAGGTTTCTATCACTCAAGAATGAAAAGAAAGAACTGAGGGCACAGCCTGTTGTCCCAGCACTTGGGAGATAAGGGCAGGGAGGGTCAAGAGGTTAAAGCTCAGGGGCTGGAGAGGTGGGTCAGCAGTTAAAAGTGTGGACGACTTTTTCAGGGAACTGGAATTCTATTGCAAGCAACCACATCAAACATCTCATAGCCACCAGTCACTCTAACTGCAAGGGATCTAATGTCCCTTATTGACCCCGGTGGACACCTGAATACATGTGCCCATTCCCCATGCAAACACATATGTAATACATAATTAGAAAACAAATGAAATTGAATCTTCTATTTTAAAAAGAACTCCAGGCAAACCTGGGCTATAGAATGGGCTCCAGGATAGTCTAGATGACAAAGAGAGACCATGACTCAAAAACAGATGGAGAACTGATAAGCAATGCAAAGGACACAGACAGGACTTTAGATTAGACACAGATCTAATCAGTGGTACATATTCACACTGGTGCGTGGGAGAGAGAGATTGTAAGTAAGATGTATCCTGTAAGACTGACTCATAAGCATGTGGAGATGCAAGCCCAAATGTCAAATGAGGTCACTTGGTTCACATAATGGTTTAAATCCAAAGACAAGTTATTAGCAGCATCCCTGTTCAATGAGATTGGTCACCCTTCCAACAGCTGAGCAAGGCTGGCCTTCACCATGGAGTATAATCTGATTTATTCAAAGTTGACTAAGTTTACATGTTAAACCTCATCCTAAAATTACACACAAAAAAGTGAGCCGGACATGGAGGTCGGGGCAAAAGGATTGCCTCACGGCACCTGGGCTACACAGTGAATTCCTGAGCTATAGTGTCAAACCCTATCTCAAAATCGAAGCAGTCCACACGGAAACATCTTAGAATAAATATTTGACTGAGTATTTGTATGTCTGATCTTCAAGTAACTGGGCCATGACACAATGATAACTGTGCAAAAACAGCCTAAACATGTCCCCGAGGAGGCTACAAAATGATGCTAAAATTTCTCCCTGACATTCTAGAATATAAACAATATGGTGTTAAAATGAGTAGTACTTAAATGCTATGCTATAGTGTGAAGTTAACCCATCTCATGAGCCACGATATGAAAGGGAATAAAGACAACAGCATATAGATGCTTAAGGATATTCATGAGAGAAGAAACCTTATTTTCATTATTGTCCCCATGGTCATACCTCCCTCACCTTTCATTCCTATTGCATTTAGCTTCATAAATGCCCCGCCTCACCAATCACAGTCCTCATTACATGATCAGGTGCTCCCAATCCTCACTCCTACTGCATCTAAAATATTGATCCTACCTGAATCGACATAGTCTTCTGTTGGCTTTAGTCTCTGGTCATGGTATTGATAACACTATGAGATAGATAATCAAGGACCCTTATAGTTCACACATGTTTGCTTAGCTTATTTCAGAATAGCAGAGCAATTTCCACTTTGTGTTTAGAATCAGTTGTCTGTGGGTACAGTGACTTCTTTCTTTGCCTGGGACATAGGCATGAGGAAGCCAGTGCTCCAGCAGGAAATCAGTGGAATCTCTCTTCTTTTTCCTAGAAGGAGCATGCTCTGTTTGGAGCTGAGGTAGCTAGGCTGGCAGAGCATAAAGCCACAGAAACACCAGCTCTAAGATCACAGAGAGAGTGCTTGAGTTAGGTAGATAGGTGAGTATTCAGTAAAGATGGCAGACTGTGTTAGTGCATCAGCTCGCTTTCTTTGTGTTTCTAGGATGAGATTAACCTTTGAGTCAGTCAAATTTGAATAAAGTAGATTATATTCTTGGCGTAAGTTGGCTTCATACAACTTAGTAAAGCTTAATCTCCTGTAATGAAGGGAGAACACCACCAGCTCATGGAGAACTGCATACTGGAAACTGACTTACAATACATACGTCCTCTTGAGGGACTTCCTACCAGAGCAAATATTTGGGTACTGTGACTCCTCTGAGCTCACTTCCAAATTAACTGTCCCACAGATAGCAAAAAGAGACTAGAATTTCTAAGCAAGCCTGCTGATGATGGAAAATGAAGATGTTAGGCTGCTTCCTACTGTCCAGGACAGTGAGCTACAGCACACCTACAGGTGGGTTAATCTGACCACCTTACTCTGGAAATGAAGTTTTGTTGAAACCCAGATCTTGTCATCCTCTTAAGCACTGCCTGGGGCCTCTTTACATGGCATCAGTAAGGCTGAGTGGCTGCAATACAGGACTGCAAACCCAGGTCTGCCCCTGCCGAGAAAATACTCGCTGACTTCTAGTCTGAGATATTAGGATGATTGGGTGGATTCATCCCTGCTAAGCTGTTATGAAGTGAGCATCAGCTGGAGAGAGAACCACACTGTTGATTCCAGGGGACATCATCCCTGACAGGTAGCCAAACAGTGGTAAGAACTGAGAAAGAGAAGCTAGAAAAGTAGGGATAACTTTTTCCTCTCCAGACACTGTCCTTCAAGTGGCATTTCACCTCACTATGAGATGACGGTGATGTGAGGATTTGTAGTTTTGTTATCCGTATTTTATAAGAGAGGAGATGGGAACTTCAAGACCTCAAGATCAAGCTGGAAAAAGTGATGCAATGCTTGGAATCCCAGCACTGGGGAGGCTGGGATGGAAAAAAACAACCCCAAGCTAAGGCTAGCCTAGGCTACATACCAAGACCCTATCTTAAAACAACAAAAGCCATAAGAACACTCTGCAAGTGTTCAAGTTAGGCATGTGAAGGGAAGGTGACAGAACGTCTGAGTGGAAGAGAAGAGCATTGTGGGTCTTGATGAGACAGACTAGGCTAAGTTGAGGGCTAAGAAAGACGTGGCATTGGCAATGTCACTTGGAAGCTGTTTAGAATATCAACTGTATGGCACTGAGATAAGTCTGAAGGAGCTGGCTGGACTTAACTGGAGGCAAAACTTGTGTGATGAAGAGTTGTGACTGTAACACAGGACAAAGAAAGGGAAGTAATAATGTCTAAGCCATGGTGGTGCACACCTTTAATTCCAGCACCCAGGAGGCAGAAGCAGGCAGATATCTGTGAGTTCAAGGCCAGCATGATCTACAAAGTAAGGATATTCAGGGCCACACAAAGGAACCCCATCTTGAAAAACAAAACAAAAACCGCCAAACAAACTCATAAATGTCTCTGGAATTTGGAAGTCCCAAAGGCTATAATGCCAGACCCCAAATACAATGAGATGTTCTGGGCCAGCCATACTTCATATGTCAGAGTTTTTTGGACTGGGAAGTATTTGCCTAGACCTTGCTTTTTGAGCATCCCTAATCTGGAAATATGAAAGGCTCCAAAATCCAAATCATCATGCCACTCAGAATGAAGCTTTCAAATTAGGGAGCCTTTACATATACAAAAATCTGGATTAGTTGAGCAAGGGTTGACCTTCACAGAGCTTAGCCTTTTCAAGGATGGCCTGGCAGTGTTATGTGCAGTGGATTTAAAGGTGAAGAATCTTGGTTAAGAAGCTGTTTACACCAGAGACGCTGAGTCTGAATTAGAATAATGCCAAGAGAAACAGAGCTGAGATGATAGAAGGTAGATAAAATTTAAAGATAGAAGCTGCGTGACTGAGAGTGGGTGGGCTCTGAAAAACAAGCATCGAAAATAAAAGGACTGAATAAATTCATTGCCTTTGCTCCCTTTGGAAACCTACAAAGTGGAAAAGACATAAATCCACAAAATCAAAAGGAATGGAAGAGCAGATATCAGCAACAAAATGTTGGAAGCTAGAGAACAGACCTGGGGTGGGAAAAAAAGCTTAGCAAAATGGGAAAAATAAAGCCTTAACATGCACTAGGCAAGGCTAAGGACAACTGACTTCATACCAAAACAGGGAGTCAAGAGCACTACAAAAGCCATGAGAACAAGCCCCGGTAGGCAGTACTCCATGGCCACTGCATCGGCTCTGTCTCCTAGTCCCTGCCCTGCTTGAGTTTCTACCCTGACATCTCTCAGTGGTGGACAGTGATCTGAAACTATAAGATGACATAAACCCTTTTCTATCAAAAAAAAAATCATAACCAAGACAGAAGGGGCTGGGGCGTGACTCAGTTGATAAATTACTTAGGGTACAAGCGTGAGAGCCTGTGTTCAGATTCCCAATCCTCACATTAAAATGCCAGGTGATATGTCTGTAACTCTAGAATTTTCAGGGACAGAGGTAAGTGGAATCCTGGGACTCACTGGCCAGCAAGTCTTTCAGATTTGGGGAGCCCTCCCAGTTTCAGTGAAAGACCCTTCTCAATAAGCAAGGGAGAGCATGTCCAAGAAAGATGCGCAACATTGGCCATTGACCCCCATATGTACACACAAACACACAAACAAAAAATGAGATGAATTAGCTAAAAGTTAAAGAGGTTGCCCTCCCAGATCTTGCTCTGTATCAGACAGATAGAACACTGACCCTGACATGACAAGGCACAGAAAGCCCAAGGTAGTTCTGAGAAGGTGAAGCCCAGGTTTCAAAAGCAGATGACAATATTAATCTAAAACTTAAAACAGGGGCATTCAGCTCATGTTCGTGTATTGCCTGTTCAAATACTCAGCCTGGATCTCTGTTCCTTTGAGATCTAGTGACTTATTCTAAGGCAAATATTTGAAGTATTACATGCTATTACATGACATCAAGAGTAGCCACAACTAAGACAATATCTTTGGATGAATCCTAGAACCTCTGGGGCACTAGCCAGTCAGGACTGTTGCTCTGAACTCAAAGAACATGACCCATGGATCTTGAGCCCACACTTTGGGGGATAGCTGGTGCTGGTGACTACCAAAATAAAAGTGGCCATAGACCCAAGATAAAAACATAGCCCACAGAAAAGAAGGTAAGGCAGTCTTGAAACTAATAGCAACCCCCAGAACACAGGGTTATCTTAGGGTTATCTTAACTCTGGGAAACCCAAAAACATAGGGTTATCTAGGGCAATCTTAATTCTTGGGAAGTAAAATGGGGTCTCCCAAAGATAAATGGTCATAGTTCATGTCTAACCTCAGCAGAGAACAGCTCTCATATTGTTAGTATTGTACAAACACTAATATCTCACTCAACTAAAATTCCAAATAAATCACTGACAAGATGGAGAGACTGAGAAGTGTGTTATCCAAGGGGTGCCGGGAGATGATCAAGAAGCCAAACACACCTCTTGCGTGACTGGAAATCAGCAGGGAGTACTTAAAGGAAAGAAGTGATGTAAGCCAGTCATTGCAGATGCAGAGGTGAATGTGAGAAATACGACTCACTGGAAGGGGCAGAAGCAACAGCCCAGGGAAGCAGGAATAGAAGGGGACACTGGCACAGTGGCTTCTCACACCAAGCCTTGCTGGGTACCACAGTTAGCACAAGTTCTTTAGGCAGGCAATCTTGTCTTTCCTCCTCTCTGTGGTTGCTGCCCAATGATGGTAACCACTGGTTGGAGAGGTTGGCTCACCAGTCGTCCTGAGACCATGCTCTCAAGCCAAAGGAACCTAGAATTTCTTTGAGAAAATTTGATATAACCAAAGAGTATGCAAGGCTGGTCATCATCTATGCAGGCAGAACAGACCTGGACTCTTACCTGTGGGGAGGAGTGCTCAGAAAGGACAGCTTCAGGTCATCATGAGACTGGCATGTCACACTAACCCTGCCTGTATCAGGAGATGACAAGCCCACCTGCTTTATATAGAGCAGAGCAGAGCAGAGCAGAGCCAGGCTCTCTCTGTATCCAAGGAGACTGCATCTGTCAGCACAGGAGGAGAGCAGAGGTGATTAATGAGATGTTGAGTCTTGGCTGGGAGCAAATGCTGAGCCTGAGCTACTGACTTAGAGCCAAAGGCCCTTCAAGAGATGCATTAAACACCAGTTCATCAGTTCCCAGAGGAGCATATACCCTAATTCCTCGGGTAATAGAGAACTTACTCTAATTTACACAGGCTTCAGGCTGATAAGACATCTGTAGCCATTCAAATGTGTCCAAGTCCTCTTCTCAGAGTGCAGGACCAACCCTCCTGTGAGTACCCCTGTAACATTTGCTTGTCCAAACACAAGATCTGAGAAGTCTCCACAACTCCAAAGTGTCCCTGCTACTTCTCAGAGCCTGCCTGACCCCAAGCTCTGCCTCTCACACCGTTTAACACTCAACCGTCACCAGCTCTGGCCTGTCTTTACCTTCTGCTGGAAGGTGTACACTCTATGTAACATTTGGAGGAAAAGGCAAAACAGGTCTCATGGATGCTGCAGTACAGAGATGCTGTAGCACAGGGATGCTTCAGCACAGAGATGCTGTAGCACAGGGATGCTGCAGCACAGAGATGCTGTAGCACAGGGATGCTTCAGCATGGAGATGCTGCTGCACTCTGGATAGTGATGCAAATAGGATGAGGAGGTGACTTAGGGAAGAAAATTGTAGCAACGTTCACAGTTAGTTATGGAGAGGCTGTGCATTAAATCATCCACTGTGGCTCTATCGGTAGCATTAAAAGCATTAATAGCCCTCTCTAAAAGTAGCCAGTCACACTTCACAGTTAACCCACACCAAAGAGCAGCCCTCAAAGTCTGTTCCAGGCTATGGCTGGGTCACCCACCTCATGCTGAGATTGATGTGAGTCTCTTCTCTTCCAGATTATGACATTTGTGCCCAAGCTCCGTGTGAACAGCAGTGTACGGATAACTTCGGCCGTGTACTATGTACATGCTACCCAGGATACCGATATGACCGTGAGAGACACCAAAAGCGGGAGAAGCCGTACTGCCTGGGTGCGTAGGAAATGCATTTCCAGCTCCCAGGGGCATGTTCCTTGTTGGATTTGCTGCAGCAGCAGCAGGGCCAGCTCAGAGGAGCCACTCTAATGTGTGATTCCTCCCCTGAAGTCCTTGTACTTGTGGGATGGAGGGTTGTTTGGCTTTAGCCTGTGGATCACCCAATGGCTTTCTTTCATCATGTTTATCAAAACAAATTCTGTACAAGGATGCCTTTGGGAGCTAGAGCTAGAGGGACAGAGGAGAGATTAAGACCTAGAGACAAGGGACAATGTCCTACATAAACTAGAATGGTGTAAGACAGAAAATGAAAGATCAGAAGCCAAGAATCAATCCAACACTCAAGAGATGGAGGCAGGCAGATCTCCCTGAGTTCAAGACCAGCCTAGTCTACATATTGAGTTCCAGGACAACTAAGTTTACACAGAGAGACCTTGATAAAAAAAAAAAATCAGAAACATAAAATCAGTCCCAAGGACATTTCCATGTAGACTTCAGCTAGGACCTCCAGCCTCTAGGTGACAGGGTGTATTGCCATTACCACACTCTCCTTGGTACCCTCGGCTCCTATCAAGAGCTAGGTCTTTGGCAGCTTGCCCAGGGAACAGTTGGGAAGCTGTCAATTGCCTGAAGCTCAGGGCTGCGCTCTGCCTTCCATGTGTGGAGTCTGTGCTTGGGTCGTGGATCCCGTCCACAACAGCCAGGTGTCTCCATCCAGTGGTCAGGAAGTTGAAGGCAGCCTTCCCCTTTTCTCTATGGTGAGAAACATTTTTGATTCCACCCCATGCCACAAGGAAGTGAGAGACAAAGCCCATGCTGACTCTATCGTGGTCCCTTTTTTGATGATCTCATGGTTCATTTCCACAGATCACCAGAGGTCAGCTTGGGTCAATATGGAGTAGGGACCGCCTAGAGAAAACTCTCTCCATGAGGCCCATCTGACTATTTACTTTTGTTAGAAGTAGCTGTTTTCAGTTACTATCATACCTCTTAACTGGGAAAAGACCTTTCCTAAGTGACCTTTGGGTCACCACCATGCTGTTTGAAACTTCCCATTAAAAAGGGAAACTATAGCCACCAACCATCCTGTGAGAAGTCAGCCATGTTGCTGGTCATCTTCCACAAAGCCCTGGGGAGTGCTTAGGGCTGGCCTCATTGTCACACTCTGCAGGTGAGTGAGACTCTGAGGCACTAAGCCACATGACAGACAGGAGTGCCACTACTCTAGACTTTATCTACACTGCTCTGGTCCAGTTCTAGAAGTTTCTCCTGTTCATACCAATAGAGGGACCAGAGTAATGTTGGATGCTGTGTTGAAATTATGCTATGCATTTGGTTCAAACCAGATATTGATGAATGTGCCACCAGCAACACCACTCTGTGTGCACATACCTGCATCAACACCATGGGCAGCTATCACTGTGAGTGTCGGGAGGGCTACATCCTTGAGGATGATGGGAGGACCTGCACGAGGGGAGACAAATACCCCAACGACACTGGTGAGCAGAACAAGTGTAATACCTCTAACTGTGTGCATGCTTCTATTAGACATTATATAGAATATCAGTTTAGGAATTATATATAGATAAAATTATGTCTTATATATTTCTATAATTTTATATTCTATAAATGTGCTTATATGTATAATATATATTATATATCTCTATATAGTGATATTTTATATAATATATTATATACAATATATACATACTGTTACATATAAAATACAATTAGGTATAATCTATAATTCATATTATATAAATATACTTTATATAGTAAATGTTATTTTTAATGTTGTATATGTATTATTTATCCAATTTTATGCATTTATATGTTGTATACATTATAACATAACATGTAAATTATAAGTACTTGCGAGCCCAACACTCCTTGGGGGACTCTGTGCAAGATGGGACACTTAAAAGTGGGACCTAGGTGCAAACCAAAGACAAAACTCATTCTACAGAGAGCAGATGGGACCAGGGTCCATGTCAGCTGTTGCAAGCTGGCATATGCTGGAGGAAGGTAGCATACCTCTGGCTGTGTGTCTCCAAGAATCTAGAATAAACAGGAAAGGAGCCAGATGTACTATGTTCTGTCAAAGAAAATGTGCTGAAATATGTATTTGTATAATTTCCACATATGGCCCCAGTCTATTTCAGCACAAGTCAAAATGCAGTCTATATCAGGTGCCCATCTGTCAACTAGTTGTTTGGTTCCTGATCAGATAAAAACAGAAAATGAGAGTACATATAAATTATTACACCAATTTGAGAGAGGACACTAATTTAAATTCCAAATTTTATACTTGCATTTCACATACAATCTGTCAAATAACTAACTCATTTTGTATCAGTTCACAGTCAGCTACACAATTTCTACCAGCTGGGGCTTCGGCATGGCTCTGTAAGGCTGCTGGACATCAACACAGCAGCCGAATTCAGCCAAGATGGCTGGTCACTGGAGCCTAGGATCAGCCTATGTGTGGGTTACTTCTTTGAATCTGGAGGAAAAAAAGAAAGAATAAAGCAAAAGAAGAAGAAAGAGAAAAGGAAGAAAGAAAGGAATTCCTAGATTGGTGGGCAAATGCTTATAACATTCACTTGCAAAGTAACTCTGATACTTCTGCCAAGTGCCAAGCTAGTCATTAAAGTTTAGAATGCTAGCCTTTGGAGATGAATGCCAATCACTCTCCAGCTGGAATGAACTTTGGGGCAAAATCATCTTCGCTACCAGTGTTGGCCAGACAAGTTCCCTGCAGAGAAGTCCTTAGCCATTTAGAGGACCGGAGATTGAGTTCTGTGCCATTATGAACACGCATGTTTGCGTTCATGCCTCTGTGTGTGTGTGTGTGTGTGTGTGTGTGGTGTGTGTGTGTGTGTGTGTGCACAAGCAGTCAAAGTAGGTTAGAGGGCCTGAGCCATCCCTGGGAAGGGAGGAGGCTCCTGGGGCAAATCACATGTGCAAAGATGTGCAGGGAGATGAGAAAACCAGAAACATCTGGACATTCACAAGATGGAGCCTCAGCTTCAAAAAGGGCCAGGAGGCAGCAAACAGCTGGAGACCAGCTGCCTCACAAGGAACAACTACAAAGGCAGATTCTGAAGGGCAGCTAGGTTGAGTCATGGAGAAGCCACCATATGCAAAATGTAAATGCAAACTAGCTCCTCAGAGCCAGTTCAGAACAGGCTCCTGTGCATGAGCTAGAGGGACTAAGCATGGGGACACCTTTGTAACTCTGAATCATGTGGAGCCTAGCCATCGAGAGGGCTCCACAGACCAAGGGACAACAATCTTTTGAGGAACAACGTTTAATTGAGAAAATAACTTAGAGGTCATTTTTTATTCAAAATTAAAATCACTGCAGTTTTGTCCCGTGAGCAAAGAGGATGAGAGAGGACCAGGGAGGTGTGGTGTATCTCAGGGAGGTGTGGCCTATGTTGGGAAGGTGTGGTGTATCTCAGGGAGGTGTGGCATGTCTCTTAGGTTGTGTCCTTTATTGAAATGAAAGTGTTCATTGACAGTGGGGCCTTCCTTTTAGCCACCAACTCATGAATGTGTAGGACTGGAAGAAATAGTCCCATAGGCAATTATTTTTTCTTTGTAAAGTTGACTTTCCAGATGCTTGTACACAGTTGGCTGTGGGTAGCCTGAGTTGCTATAGTGAGGAACCCCAAAGCAGAGCAAAACCATCAGAACAGCAAACATGTGTTTCTGAGTGTCAGGCCAGAAATCCATGCTGGCTAGTGTTCAGATACTCATAACACAGAGCTGGCCCTTCCCACAAGAAGTGCCCAAGTGGTGGGGCAGAATGGTCTCCAAGGACAGTGACAGTAAGAGCAAGAAGAAGAAAGATCAGATGGAAGTTCCAGAGGTCTCTCTAGGATTGGATGTTCTAAGTTCATTTGTTCTCTGGTCTCTCAACATCTCCATCCCTTGAAGGAATTCCTAGCTTCTCCACACACATTTCTCTTTGGTCCTCAGGGCACAAGCCCCTGTGGTCCATCAGCTAACAGGATCTGCTTCAGTGAGAAGCACTAGCCTGTGCCCCACCTTTAGAAAGGAGGCTTAGCGAAGGCGAGAGAAGGAAAGGCTGAGAAGTACCATTGCATCTTTTATGTTTTGCTCTTCCTTTTTGAGTTTTTGAGAATTTCATACAGTTTCATATATTCTGCACCTTGGCCAGTTGTGGTTCTTGATCACCATCTACTGCAAACAGAAGATTCTCTGATAAAAGCTGAGAGATGCCCTAATCTATGGGCCTAATGATAACTCATTAGGAGATGGTTCAATCCTATGTAACGGAATAATAGTAAGAAATTCTCTCCTTGGGTCTATGCTATAAGTTCTTGGCCTGATAATGGTAGTATAGCAGGCCTAAAGTCCAATCAGAAAATGATTGTCTCACTCTCTGGCCCACTCACGGGCTCATACTTAGTAAGCTTTGATGTATAGCCCAGGATAACTTGTCTAGGGATAGAACTGCCCACAGTGGTCTAGCTCCTCCTGCATCAGCTAATAATCTGTACTATCCCCCACAAACATGCCAATAAGCCAATCGGATCTGGAGAATTTTGCAGTCGAGGCTTTTGTCTCAGATGAGTCTAGGCCCTGTCAAGCTAACTGACAGTTAAAGCTAACTAGGACCCTTGAATGTCACATAACTATTTAAGCAGCCTTATAAACATCTAACAGGGCTGGAAAGGTGGCCTGGTGGGTGAAGTGCATACTGTATAAGCAGTAAGACCTGAGTTCAGATCTTCAGTACCCACAGAAAAGACAGGTGTAGCAGCAGGCATCTCTAATCCCAGAACTAAGAGGCTGGAGACAGGAAGGTCCTGGGGCTTGTTAAACCAAACAGTCTAAGCAAAATAGCAAGTTCAAACTCAAAGTTCATTAGAGACCTTGTCTCAAAAAATGCAGTGGAGGGGCTGTCGAGTTAGCTTAGAACTAAGACCTGGGCTCAGGTCCCAGCATTCATGTCAGGACTCTTGGAACAACATGTGACTCTAATTCTAGGTATGGTGCTCTCTTCTGGCCTCCTCAGGCAACCAAGTACATGGTACACATACATATTCATTCTCTCTCTCTCTCTCTCTCTCTCTCTCTCTCTCTCTCTCTCATACACACACACACACACCACACACGCACACACACACACACACACACATGTTTGAGCTCTTTTAAATAAAACAAGCTGAAGAACACTAGAGGAAGACACCAGATATCCTCACAGGAACACTCATATCACATACCCACACATACATGCAAAATACTAATTTGTAAAAGGGATATTAATATTTTTAGTTTATGTTTATTGTAGGTGTGAAGTGTTTCCCCTGCATGTATATTTGTGCACCACATGTGTGCAATGTCCAACAAGGCCAAGAAAGAGTGTTAGATCCCCTGGGACTGGAGTTACCGATGGTTATGAGCTGCCATATGGGTACTGTAACTAAATCTGGTTCCCCTGAAATAGTGACCACTGCTCTTAATCAATGAGCCATCTCTCCAGCCCCAAAATAATTGTTTTAAGATATCATAGGTGATGATGTTCTGAAAAGCCCAGATTGGAAACCATCTATGTCACAAACCTGAGCTCTGGGCTAAACTTGATAGGACATCTGGACATTCTCAGACAAAGGTGTTAGCAGCAGATCCAGTGGCTGAAGTGTAAGGGCCTGGCATAGAACAGGTGAAGACAGGCCAGACCTCCCTCATTACATCATGTTCTGAGATACTTGGCTCCTCTGACTGTGACACAAACAGGAAATGTCCTTGTCTTTTGCCCCTACAAACCATCTGGTGACTTTGCCACCAAGCCTTACTGAGATGATAAGCTTAAAAAACATGTAATGAGTTGTCAGTTTTCTCCTGTTCCCCTCTGCCTCTTCCTCCACCACCGCCCATATACAGCAACTCTGTATGCTTTGAAATAGATAAAACAAACTAACAAAATGCCACTGCCAGGTCTTCCATACGCCTCAGAAGTGTGATCCTTACAAAATTAGTTGACAGTATTTACTCTCAATTTTCAATTTACAATCTCCACGGAACTCAGCACATATGTGCAGAGGGATTTGATTTGGTTTTATATTTTACAAAAAAGCATCATTATACCTGTGTTCAGGGTGTACAGGTCGAAATTGAGAAGAATCATTCATACAGATAGGTTTGAGACGGGACATGCTCATTGTGCACCAAGAAGGTCCCTGTCCTAATTCAACTGCTTGCCCACTGAGCCACAAAGTACTTCAAGATACTTTGTCCCCTGTCTCTGATGACTCTAGGGATAGAGAGAATAAGGAAAGGAGAGGACTCTGGAATCATCTGTCTAACAGTGGTGATGCCTCAGGAAGTTCCTTGCCTGGAAAGTTAGAGCAGGTGATTAGGGCTGGGTCAGTGTTGACTGTGTGGTTTGAGACCTGCTCTCTGGGTCTGTTTTCCTCATTGTCTGGGGACACTATTGGGACACTATTGATCTCCAACACCAGGGCCCCTTTACCCTTGGAAAACTTTTCCAAATTTGCTGGGATCTGCATGACAATGCAAGTTCTGCCTGCCATTTTTATTTCCTTGTCCTCTTTCTGTACAAGTTCTCAGGCTTGAAAGCATGCCCAGCTCTTACACCTTCTGTGGAGGGACCATTTCTTATTGTATCTCAAGGGTGAGTGATTTCACATTCAAACAAGCAACTCGAGAGTAAGCCGCGCTCACAGCGAGCGGAGCCCTCCAGACATGAGGCAGCTAAGCATTTCCATCTGCCTCTAGCAAATTAGTCAGCTCCAGTATTTCATCGCTCTTTTTTTAAAAAAATTGAATATAATGATTATTGAGTATAAACATATGACCTAAAATCACTTCTCCCTGACTGGTATATGTTTTGAGTTTGAGGGACGTTCTTTAGGGAGAGATATTTCTTAAGCTTTTCATCGTTCAATGTCTACAATGTTAGAGTCAGACAAATTTCAAATGGAAGTCCAGGGCCAGTGAGCTTCCCATCATAAATGCTTGATTGGCTTGAGAGTGATTCCAGGACCCATGTAAAGGTAGAAGGAGAGAAACAACTGCACAAAGTTGTCTGACCTCCACACACATATCTTGGCACACATGCGCCTTCACATGCATGTACATGCACAGACAGTGTAGTAAATGTAAAAACTGAAATAATAGTAGTAGTCATAATCATAATAACAATAACACCATCAATAATAATAATGATAATTGGAAGGCTAGCAAAGAAGGGGCGTGGCCTCCACCGATTTGAAAGATTGTATCTTGGATGTGTGATGCAAGCCATCTGACATGACATAGCAGTGTTTGGCCACTTTGATTTTTATCTTTGAAAACCCAGAGCTGGAGCCAGTCGAGACACAAGGGAGTCTGTATAGTACAACCAGGAGACAATGGAGGAAATGTTGGCTCCGACATGATTAGCTTACTAGTCTTTATTTTCCAACTGGTGTTTATTTTCTGATAAAGTTACCGTGACCCCAAGTGTCAATCAATCCAGTTCAAAGACTCAGAAACCACCAGGTGTTTCAAATAACTTTCAAGCTCTGATAATACATAGATTAGCAAGTTCTTAACATTGGCAATGTTAAAACATACTGACACTGTTCCTTCCTGCCACCCCAAGGTGGATGGATGCAGGAAGATTCCAAAGAAGCTTTCAAAGACCTCTCAATGGTTGTAATGTATCAGGACTGAGTTCACGAAAGAGCACAGTCAAGTTATTAAACTAAAATTCTTCCTTCATTTGTAGAATTTCCCACATGAAGCACATTCTTGGGTTTGTCCTCAGTTTATTTGATAATGTTGCCATATTATCTAAGCCGGTACATTTCTAATGCTCTGAATGTTTAACCCGACTCTCATAAAAATTAGAGTTCCATGCCCCTGTGTGGCTACTAAGTAGTACTACATCTTTAAAATCTGAGACGTCAGCAAAATTGAGCTCAGAGCATATTTAGATATACAGTAAGTTTAATACAGTGGCTTCCCTGGACCTGCCTGACCACATCTGGATGTTCTTAGCAGAAACTCCAATAACATCCTCCCTTCATACCTACCCTGTACCCCAAAGGACCAGCTGGGTGGCCCTTTTAATTGTATGGTCTGCACACAGCACTTATCTGTAAAAGAATGCTAAGGCTGTATCAGTTCTAACTTTCCATGGTCTATATAACATCAGTCCAGAGCCAAGTGACAAAGTAGGTTTATCCTGTCATGCTAATAAACAGTTGTTCAACCACACCAACTTGGAATATTCTGCTGAGAATGGGAAAACTAGGGATATAGAGATGGGCTTTTCACTCCTGTAGAAGTACCCTCAACTTGTGGCTTAGCCTTACACCAAAGGCAGATGTAAATCATGAAGCAGAAATATTCATTTATCTCCTGTTCACAATACCCAACTTCATACAGCACATGACTCTACAGAAGAGAGGTGGCTGGAAGGGTGGAGTAGTGGTTAGTGTGAATGGTCAACTTGACACTGTGAGTCATCCGAGAAGAATCTCAATGAGGAATTATCTCCATTGAATTGGTCTATAGGCAGATGGGGGCATATCTTAGTTATACTGACTGTTAACTGAAGACCCAACCTAAAAGTAGGGAACATCTTTCTCTAGGTTTGGAGCCTGGACTGTATGAAAGAGGAGAAAGTGGGCTAAGTGTAAAGTCATTCACTCACGTCTCTCTGCTCTCAACTGGGTATGACTAGTGGCTTCCATTTCCTGCCACCTTGATTATCCCACAGTGACAAGCTATGACCTGGAATTGGGAGCAAAAATAAGCCCTTTGTCCCCTATGCTGCTGATGGGCAATGGATGAGTGACTCACAAGGATGGGCAGCTCATGCGGATGATTGAGTTTGTGTCCTTCATAGTGGAGAGGTGAATCCTTAGCCAGCTTCAGATACACTCACGGTAGAGAATGGAGACCACCTGCAGAAACAGACAACTGGGCTCTGGGTCTAGTGGATTTGTAGATGCTAGGACAGAGGAATGGTGCCCATCTCTCCTGGCTGAGTGACACATCCAAGGGAATGACAACTCGTGTCATCATCTTCAAGCTGTCTTCTCTCCTGCAGTGCCCTGTTTTCAGACTCAACATGTTGGGCCCCACTCAGCTGGGCCACGGTCTACCCCCTGAATCTGTCAGAGAAGGAGAGGGGGAAAGCAGTATTGTGCAAGCTGCTGCCTGAGTGTGAGAATTTGTGTTGCATGTGAACTTTGGCCCCTGGATAACAGTAAAATCATGTCAGAGTTATAGAGCCACAGTTCTAGAAAACAATGACAAATGCACACATTTCTACCCATGGAAGATGCTAATAAGAGGACCGTAGCATGTGTCTTCACACATTCAGGATGTCAAAAGCTGGCTCCAAAGAGTAGAAGGGCCTCTCTCTCTGTCCCTTCCCCTCTCCCCTGACCCTGGGACATCTGACAGGGTCAATGTGAGAACCTGAGAATCATAACACTGTCAACACCTACTCCTTGTACCTTCCCTGCTCAGCTTTTCTGTACCCCATGCCCAGGGACTGCCCTACTGGTGCCATCTCCTCAGGCATCTGCCCCTGACAACTTCCCAGCTAAAGCTGAGCCTATCTTCTTTCCCAGGGCATGAGGAGAAGTCTGAGAATGAGGTGAAAGCTGGGACCTGCTGTGCCACATGCAAGGAGTTCTCCCAGATGAAGCAGACAGTACTGCAGCTGAAGCAGAAGGTACACTGAGCTCTTCAAGGGGAAGAGTGGAGCCCACGAAGAGGGGTTTAGGGGTAGGAAGGTGAATGAGCCAAATTCTAGTTGAGAACTCATTGCAGTTGATATCAACTAAATATGGATTCTGGATATTCCCTGACTCCAGAGCTAAGCACCTAAACAGCAACAGAACACGGAGCAAAGACCTGAAGAGGGGGTCACTATAGCAGGCCTGGCAATGGGTACATGCAAAGTTCTTGAAAGAGTAAAACTAATATTGCCATGTCCTCTTATAGAAGGTATAGATTCACAGTCCTGGACAGACCTTTGCAATGACATGTTATCTGTTTTATTCATTGAGAACTTTCTCTCTTAAAGCTTCTGCAAGCTGACATCATTGTGTGGGACCTTTATTTTATCATCATGTAAACTTTATGGTCTGGGAAAAAAATATGCCTCTGGGAAAGCAGTTTTCTGAGTGCCTCTTGTCACCAGGAGTGAAGATCAACTCCCTTTCTTAAAGACTCCACCTGATGAGCCCAGGGTGCTGGTAATGTCATCCAGCTGTGCAGAGGGGCCTCATGATGGATCTAGTGGCCTGAATCCTTAGGTGACAGTCCTGGGCTGGTGTTTATTACACCTGAGGTCAGCACACTTGCTGGCTCCTCGGCCACTCTGAAATGGTTCTTCAGCTGCTCAAACATAAACTCACCACTTTGTTTGTTTAATCATTTCCACTCATGGCTCTCAGGAGATCAAAGGGGTGTGTATAATCTGTTTAACTTTGGCAGTCAGTTATTCTAAAGGGCAAAAGGGTAAACATGAGACGCTATCTCTTTTCCATGGCCAGAAAACTGGCAGCCACCGTAATGAGAACCCCAGCTACCAGCTAGTCCATCAAAACAACAGGCTGAGAAGGGAAGTGGCATTTCCAACCTCTGTTGCATAGGCTGGGAGGTTATGATCGACATTAGCAGAGGCTCATGTATAGCTCATGTATACCTGTGTGTTATATATTTACGTAATCATGAGTAAAACATGGACCTAATCATAAATAGCTTGTGATGTCGTAGACAGGCAGAAACCCTTGTCTGTGTGCCAGTATAAACAAAGAGAAAGGAAGAAATATTTCCCAGACAGCTAGCCCCAGGTGACATTTGAATTGATGTTAGCATTTTTAGAGGAAACTAGAAAGGTTTGTAGAAGCATTAAGCTCGCCTTTCATCGGGCTAGAGCATCAGGCTCGGGGGAAGCAGTTGATTATGGTCCCAAGATACCAAGCTGCCCTCACTTTCCTTCTCTGGAAGTAACCTATGATCTTCTATAAATCCTTTCCAGCTGGAGTGATTTTAAGGCACTTAATACTGCATGTTGTTCAGGCAAACTCGGTTGCTGTATCTGGCCTTCTCTTAATCACTTTGCAATATTCTGTTATCTGTGCAAGCTGGGAAATATGAAGAAGGTGGATAACTGATGTTGAGTTATACGTGACCCTCAGAGATTTGCTGATGCTTCATAGGGATAACGAGTTTGTCTTGGTCTTTCACTAGCTCTCATGTGCTTGAGTTGAGCAAGAATTGCTCTGTCTTATGCCTTGCTGGCCCCATGCATGCAGCACGAACACTGGCATTCATGAGGAATTATGAGAAGCGATTATTATATGAGGGAAGGGGCATATGTGCTTGTGTGTGCATGGAGGGTTGCTTACCTGTATGTGTGCATGCATAAAGGCCAGAAGTCAATGTTAGTTGGCTTCTTCCATCATTCTCCAACATATATCTTGAGACAGGACCTCTCACTGAACCTGGAGCTTGCCATTTTGGCTAGAATGGCTGACGTGTATGTCCCTGAGATCTGTCCATCTCCTGTTGTAGAAATTATTTAAATCCCAGCCTGAAGTTTCTACCCTACCTTTGGTTATTGAGTTCCTGGATACCTTTATATTTTTAAAAAGCCTCAAGGAGCACAAGAGCTGGGCAGATACCTAGCCTTCATACTATAAGAATCTACCTTCTTATTGATAACCCTGCATTATTACTTTGTATGTTTCATCTGGGCTGCTCTTAATTTTAATTGGCCAGCCCACAGGGCCACATTTCGTTTACTCCTAACCTATTGTAGCTTTTCCTTCTTCCTAACCTATGGCAACTTCCCTTCTACCACAAGCCTGTGAAACCTAAACCCCACCTTTGTCTCTTCTGCCCAGCTATTGGCTGTCGGCATCTTTATTTACCAATCAGAAATAGCTTGGGGGCAGGGTCAATCAGCATTTATGTCTGGTTACCACAGAGACTCTCTCAACTCTGTGACAACCAGGTTGGAGACCCAAAGTTAGCTTTAGAATACAAGCAGCATTAAGCCAACCCACTGCACACTCCATCACCCCAGTGCAGGGCTGTACATGTGTGCTTCCTGAATTTATATGGGCACTGAAGATCAAGCTTAAGGCAAGCACTTTGCCCACCAAACCTTCTCCCTATTCCTGTTTTCTTTTTTTCTTTCCTCTTATTCTTCTATTCTTCCCCTCCCTTCTCTTCTTCCTCTTCTCTTCTTTGAGACAGGTCTCATCAGTAGCCCAAGCTGGTCTTGAACTATCAATGTAATAGAGGATGACTTTGAACTTCTGATCTTACCCCCACCTCCCAAGTGCTGTGGTCATAGGTAAGGGTCACCATACCCAGCTGAGAGCTAATACTCTTTTAAAAGGTGCTTCCTGGAATATATAGCTTTCTGTGGTATGAGGAGCAGTTCTATAAACAAATCCCCACTTAACTGTTACCACAGCCTTGTAAGAAACATGCTAATGTTCTTGGGGCTACAGTACATGCTCAAGACATCAGACTTAAAATCCGGGCCTTCTCTTGAACCCTGGTGTAGCTCATCATTTGCTTTAACATTCACTTGCTACTGCTGATACAATCTGTTCCTTTCATAGAACACAGGGCATTTATTTGCCCAGATAAATGTTGTTCAAGAAGTAGATATGGGAGGTGGGGTGCTGGAGACCAGCCAACCCCCCTCCAAGTATGAGACAGGGTCTCTCACTGAACTTGTATGCCCACATGTTGAGCTATACCATGAGTAGGTAGAATTCTAGCTACAAAATGCCCCAGATCAAATCCCTGGGCTCTTCAAGGGATCAATTAGAAAAGAAAGCCCCATAAAACAGCAACATACAGAATATAAGGAACCTGCAAGACCTGTCAGTTTTTAAGTAGCAAGGTTTATCTAAACCACAGTGTTCAGATAAGGACTTCTGGATGGTGGATTATTTGTTTACTGTAGGAAATATTGTACAAGTCAGAACAGTGGTTACTTTTGAAGGAAGGAAGGAGACTGGCACAGGACCCTAAGGGGGGGATCAGGGTGGCTGGGAGGTCTACATGTTGGTTTGAGTGTTCACTTCATGTGCTTGGGCTTACTTTAGTCATTTTCTAAGCTGCATGTGTTAGTCCTATGAAACTTCCTGTTTGGGGCTTGTAGTGTCCATTCAGACCTCAGTGCTTCTCCTGCTTCATCTTTTTTTTTTTTTTTCAGAAAAGTGATTTGGTGAGAAAGGGAAGGGATCTTGGGGACAGAGAGAGTACCTGCCATTCAGCTTTCAGTTAAGCACTGAGAAAAACTGAGAGTCGCAGAGCCTATTGATTTCTCTTTTGAAATTTACTCTCATGGCTAAAGGGACTGCTAGAAGTGAGATAGCTACAGAGGGACAGGAGAGAAAGACCCCAAAGAGAGAGGCAGAGCCCCTAGATAAGCTTCCTCAGCAGCTCTTGATCCACAAGAGTGCTCAGCCTCCAAAGGCCACTATATGGGAGCAGGGGATCTCCACCCTCCTAAACCAGCAACCCACAGTTAACCCATAGAGAGCAATTGAAACGATGTTGCAAGTGTTTGCTGAGAATCCACTGTGCCCTCCAGTAGCCTGAGCAATGAGGAAATGCAGACAGTATGGAATAAAGTCCTGCCTCAAATAAATGTGCATCTTACAGAGAAGTCAACAATGTGACTTCATGGCAATTTAATAGAGTGAAAGGAGATAACACCTACTAAATATAGTTTCCATGGTGTCTAATTACTGCTCCTAAGAGACTTACAGTAGTGCCTGCTGGCTGGGCAAGTTCTGTATTGGGCGAGCTCTGTATCTACCAAGCATGTGCTGAATATTAACAGTGAGCATTCTATATTCAGTGTCCAGCTAGCTTGTGCCAACAGCTCTCTGAGGTGATTGCTTTAACACAAAGCAAACTTGATCTGAGAGAATGGTGGTTGGAAGTCTATTGATTGACACTCAGGAGAAGTACAGGGCCTACTCATATTGCTATAGTGTTTCCTCCTCCAAAACACTCACACTCCACAGGTGTGATATTCCCTGATATTTCTGGGAGAACATGGCTGGTCATTACTTTTCCTTCCAACTTGCCATAGGAGTGTAGGATCTACAGGTAACTTGAACATTAGGGTTGTAGTCACTGGCTCGTCTTATAACTCAAATATAACGTGAACACTGGAGCTAGTGAAAATGAAGAAGCAACAGGAAAAGTGTTAAAACCAAACCATGGTAGATTCCCGACTCCAATCCAGATTATGGAATTTTGAATATGAAGATGTGATCATCTAGCTATGCACACCACATTTTATAGACATAGAGTTGAAAACTAAAAAGGTTAGAAGACTTAAACTGAAGGTACTGCTTTGTCCTGTGCAGGCAGAACCTTCCCCACTGGGCCGTGACAGTGGCTAGACACTTGGTCCAGGTGTCCATTTTCCTGTACAGCAGACCTCTTAGGTGAATGTTACCATCTCACTTATAGATGAGATCCATGCCTTACACATGAACCTTGGCAAAGCTGAAATTTCAGAGTTCCTCTGCCCAAAGCCAGAGGCCTCACACAGCTTTCACATCTCAGTGTCTGTGGCTGATGGTAACAGTGAACCATGATTCAGTGGTCAGAGTTGAAGCATGGTCTCCAAGAGTGGATTTACCTTTGTTCCTCCATCATTGACCCCTGTTCTATATGTTCATTTTCGAGTCGTAGCTGCCTACCAGACACCAGCAGCACATATAATGAATATGTGTTTGATTTATAAAGTCATTACTTGAAAGATGCAAAGTACAAAGCTAGCATGCTTGATCAGTCATGGTAATTGCGTTCTATGGATGTTTCCGAAACCCTGAATTTACCTGGTTTCAACTTCTGACTCCCTGGGCTCCTCAGGCAAGAAGTTTGCTCTGGACAGCTCCTTGCCTAGAAAGGATCTAGCCCCTTTGCACTCTGAATAGCTACAGTTAAAAACAAAATCACGAGTAGGTTTTGCAGCCTCTACAGAGGACTCTAAAATAGACTTCTTTGTGGGGACACCATGGCTTTCTGACCAAGGTCTGCCTTGTCTTTATAGATTGCTCTGCTCCCCAACAATGCTGCTGAACTGGGCAAGTATGTCAATGGTGACAAGGTGCTGGCCTCAAACACCTACCTTCCAGGACCTCCTGGCCTGCCTGGGGGGCAGGGCCCACCTGGTGAGTATGAAGAAGAGCCTGGGAAGCTGGTGGCATTCCTGCCCTCTCTGCCAGCTAGAACAGAGGCTAAGTGAGAGTTCACACCCAGTGAAGCTGGACAGTCGGTGTCCTTCAGCTTCCATGAAATTGGATATGTAGGGCAACATGCCTACGCAAGGGAAGGCCATGGGGAGTTGGATCCTGAAGCTTGGGAAGAAAGGGTAAATTTTCTAGGATCAGGTAAGACTCTTAACAATCATTTTTAAAGCTGAATGTGATACTACATACCTGGAATCCCAGTACTCAGGGAGTCAGTGGAAGAAGAATCATGAGTTAGGGGTTAGCCTGGGCTACATAGTGAGATTCTATCTCAAAACCAGTGAAAAGTACTGTGAAGACTGTTAGTTAAGTTCACCCTAGGAAAACTTTAATGTAGAGTAATAGACTCAAAAAGTCATTCAGTTCTTCTGAGTCGCAGCCAACCCCATCGCCACTTTCCTCAGCTCTTTCTCTACCTTCTCTTATTGCTTAATGCATTTTCAACTCTACTCTTACTCCTATTATATCGTAGGTGGGATTTGTTGAAGTATAGATCATATAATGTGGTAGGCCATTCCATGGTTGAGTTGGACTTTTGACAAGTATTGACTCCCCTGGAACTTATTTATACTCCACATGAACCTTGTAATACAAGAAGTTTCCACCACGCAGGAAGTTTCCGTGAGACATGTGCCACCAGTGTTATTCCCCACACCAGCTCTAGGGATTCACCAAAGGCTTTCCTTTACCCAGGCTTTCCCATTCTAGGGCTGTATACCAGAGGTCTCTCTTGGCCTGTGTTCTGTACAGCTGGCTTTGTTTTCAATCAGTGTACAGTTTGAGGGATTCATCATTACTTAATTAGAAGATAGATTAGATCAAGTGTCCTGTCCTTTCCCCAGGAAAGATATAGTGAGCACTTACACCTTCAAGTTCTGAGGTGGTTTGCATTTTATTGTGAACCTCTCCATACACACATCAGTAGAATCACTCATGCCAATAGATGAAGTGTTAGAGGTAGTGTTACTCTAAACCATGGCTGTCTTGTCCCTGGTTATCAACTCATCATAGTGCAGATTCCATCCTCTGATGTTCTATCTGGGAAGAAGTGACATATAAATGACTAGACACAGGAAAAGTAACCCAGACATACACCTATAATCCAAGCACTGAGGAGGCTGAGGCAGAAAATTACTGAATGTGAGGACAGCCTGGGCTAAAGAGTAAAGTCCTGTCTCAAAATCCAAACAAAATCAAAAAATGTATATACCTTCCTCTAGGTCTGAGCATGGGAGCTTCTCTTTATCAAAGCTGTAGGGAGATAGCATGTAGCTTGCAGTCAGAAGTGGGCTGTGTGGGGTTGAACTGCTCAAGGAGGATCAGTAATGTATCAGAACAGTGGGGCGTGGCCAAGCTTTTTATCAAGTATCAGTAGAAAGCAAGACTCGGAGTTCTTTCCAAAGGATTGAGTGGTCTCCATTTCTGGCCTGAGGCTCAGTCTTCATAGAACTAACCCAGGACTTTAGTTTATCTTCTTGTTGGTCCCATGGTCTGAATAGTCTCTGTACCTGACAGAATTTTCTCAGGCAGATGCCTCATACCAGGATCCTCTTGCTTTGTCTAAGGCGGGTTGGCGCTCTCTCCTTACAAGCTGACTCCTATCACAGTGGCCCTAGCCCCTCTGTAAGTGGATGCTGTTGTTTATCTCTCCAGACCAGTCTATATGTCACTAAAACAAAGACAGCTACCAGAAGAGGAGATCCATTGGCTATTGGTTTTCTTAGTAAATGACTCACTACTTTGCCTTCTGGTTCTGCCATCTGCTTTCTAGCATGGTTTGAGCTGTCCAGGGTCCTTGAGGAAACCGCATGATTGAAGACGGGCTTTTTCAATGCATGAAGAATTTGTCGTTTATTTCTAGACTTGCGTTGCTTTCCTATGAAAGCGTGGTTAGAGACCTCATGAAATCCTCTCACTTATGGACAGAAGTTCTACCCAGAAACCATCATGAATTGCATACTGAAGCAATAGTACAGGAGAGTGCACTGGGCTGGACCCTTTGGCATTAAAGATAAGGAGTGACTTCAGCTCTCTGGTCTCCGATGGTATAACAGGGTCTTTCCATTTGCATATCAAGGTCCTACATTTTAAAGGCAATTGTTACACAGTGACCCTGATATTTACTGCAGTTGACATCTCACCTCTAGTTTGTCTTTCTGCTATCAGACATACAATAGTTATAGCAGTGATCTGTCCCCTTCCCAAATAAACGTTTTCAGTATGTACCTGGAATAAGTATTGAGAGTTGAGACATGAGACACATTTGAATGAAACATCAACTGCCTTCAACTTTGCCTTAATTATTCTGTGAACTAGTAGTGACTTCTAATATGAAAAGCCTAAGGTCTTTGGTTCTTTGTTTTCTTTTCAAGAATCTGAAATTATTCCATGCTGTTACTGTGATTTCTGTTAGTAGGAGCTAAATACAACTCAAAGGAGATAATATGGCACTGTAAGTATAAGATTGAACTTTGAGCAAAGGAAGCCACTGGAGGGGTTTCTCCTTTCAAATTGGGCTCCTTACAGGGCATTGGGAGTAAAGAACTAGATACATGACATACTCTAGCATCTGGCTCCTGATCACCTCAGAGTCTGATTCTGCCGACTGTTGTATCGATTGGTAGCTACTTGTTTATTTTTCTCTTGCTTATTAATGTGGGTCAAATTTTTTATTGAATGATGTACATCATTTGTAGATAAACACCAGAGCCTAGGGAACTTGGTAATCACTCTTTGAGACAGGTCCTCCTCTTCTTTTGTCAGATCTATAACAGGAAGTTGAATCATCTTAATGAGTAGTTAAGTTAGTTTGGGGCTTGGTTGTCACAAACTTTACCTTCAGTGCTTTGCAGTCTTCAACTGTTCAAATCCCTCCAATGGCAGGATGCTGTTCCTTTGTGCTGAGTCAGTATCCTTGGGTTTTCTCTGTATTGCACTCTTGGTTTTCTGCAGTTCCTACACAATTCTCTATACTCTTGCCTTTTCCTCAATAATAAATCCCTTTTGCTTTATATTTCATGCTAGAGTTATGGATGGAGAGGCAGTTTCACTTTTCTTTGTCATGTGCCTCCTCCAGGCCTTGAATAAGTAAGACCTCTTCTTTACACTCATCCATAGCAAATTATGGACAGAACATCTTCCTACTCTTCCCCTACAAGAAGTAGGTATATATAATGCCTACAGGAGAGAGCATGGGCTCCCCATCTTGGGGGATTGAGGAGTTTGTGGTAATGGTTAAAAGTAGGGAAGTTCTAAAGTTAAGAGACATAAAATAGAGCTGCAAAGAACAGTGAGGAGTAAACTTGATTGTCAGGAGGCAGGAGGCATCAGCTATGGGGCAAGAGTTGGGGCAAATATAGGAAAGGTGGAAGCCTAGCAGCCTTTTAGTGCTTACTGTGTGAAGAACATGTAGTATGTGCATGTATCTAAATTTTTATCTAAGACAACTATTGTGTATTGAAGTTTTATTCAGATTTGGAGATAAAAGGCTAAGATCCAAAGAGCTCAAGCAAATTGTCAGGGATTCAAATGCAGGCCTCCCTGGTGGAAAAACTTCTACTGCTGGTCTGTGTGAGTGTGTGCACACATGTGTGTTCTGTGTGTGTGTGTGTGTGTGTGTGTGTGTGTGTGTGTGTGTGTGTGCATGCTCAGTGTGTATACATGAAGAACAAAGGTTAATATCTTGGCTCTTACATAGGACTTGGTGTCCTCATCCTCTGGGACTCAGTTTATAGACATGCACCAGCACCACACTAAACCTTTACATGGGTACTATGCATCTGAACATGGGCCTTCATTCTTATGCAGAAAGTGCTTTATCCACTGAGCCATCTCCCCGACCCCCAAACCTTGTACTCTTAAGCACTCTTTAGATAACATTACATACTCCTGTGATCCAGGAGCAGAGAGGCAACGAGCAGGGGGTGGGGGGGGCATGTAAAGCTTCTAGATCACTGAGTAGACTGGTTATGGCACTAGGGATCTACTGTAGGAAGATTCTCAAGTGTCTCACTTGAACAGATGGGTGACAGAGGCTCTAATAAAGAGAGAAAGATGACATCACTTTTAATTGTGTTGAGTTTAAACTCCCATAGGCACATTAATATAAATACCACAAGACAAAGAGCAGAGTTAGGAGAACAGTCTAAAGTGACTTCTAGACTCTGTAGTTGTCCTTATTATGAGGTGAGTGCTAATAAGATGTTCTCGATTACAGGCTCACCAGGACCCAAGGGGAGCCCTGGATTTCCCGGTATGCCAGGCCCTCCTGGACAGCCAGGCCCACGGGGTTCAATGGGACCTATGGGACCATCCCCTGACCTGTCTCATATTAAGCAAGGCCGGCGGGGCCCTGTGGTCAGTATCTTCTCTGAGATTAATGTAATATTTGGGGGAATGTGTGATCTCGTCCCCCTCTTTTTTTTTAATTAAATCATCATGTATTTGTGTCTTCTAGGGTCCACCAGGAGCACCAGGAAGACATGGCTCCAAGGTGAGTCTTATAAATGGTCCTTAACCAGGTCTGTTTCTACCCACTGTGGCATCCAATGAAGCTCAGCCAACTGTAGTTCCCTTCCCTATGTTGCATGTAGCAAAGTTGAAGCACAGATACACAGGTGGACAGAGGCAAACCTGGCCAACCCCATAATCTATAATGCTTAAGAATCCTAAACCTTTGGAGCACATGTAACACTGTGGGGTGGGGGAAGGAATTTTAAGCTCAGTGTTGTAGCTTAAGCCTCTGGGTAGTGATGATCACACTGTTGTTTCCCACTAGTCTATTTTTTTTTTTTTTAGAATGGCCTCACTTGTTTAAGTGGAGAACAGCACACAACTCCATTCTACACAAGTGGTGGCTTCCTTGTTCAAAGCTAACTGCTGCCTGTCTCATAGAACAGCCAGTATGGCTTACTTTGAAAGCTTGGTGTTTCACACATTGCCTAGAAAAACAAGAGTCCTAATCAGATCTGGTTTGAAAATACATATGCAGCTGACCTACTGCACCCAATCTTGCCGGTTCCAATAAAAGGTCCCCTGAGCCCAGGTTCAACTCAAATTTATTTCCTGTCCAATAAAAGCTTATTTCCTGAAGGACTGTCGTTGTGGGTGTCTAACCAGAGACTGTGGTGTTTCTATCTGCATGTTTCAGAATGCTAACCCTTCCCCTTTGGTTTTAGGGGGAGAGAGGAGCACCTGGGCCCCCAGGGTCTCCGGTAAGTTGCATTGTCTGTTCTGCTTAGCCAGTGAGTGTGGCTCTCGGGGGCATGGCACTCATAAAATGGTAGAGTGGGGCTGCTGAGATCATAAGATGTTTGAAAGATACATCATAGGACGTTCGAAAGAAGAGCTGAGGAGAAAGCAAATTACATGTTTCCAACACACAATGGCACACATTACCATTCTGAAAGAAGGAATGGAGGCATAGTGAAGAAATATGTGACCAAAGCAGGATGGAAACCCAGCAAAGCAAACTGCAAGTCCTGTAGCTCCATCTCTGATGTCAAAGGGCTTAGATGGCTCCACTCTTGCAGTTCTGTTGACTATAGCTACTCTCTCAGGCTGGTTCCACTCCTGGTATACATCTCTCTGGTAGACACTCCACAGCTTTGGTGCCTCTAACATCCTGCAGTTTCCATCACAACCTAGGCTTCAGACTCACAGCTTCATGCAGGGACCTCTCAGGACCTCCATGCAGGGACTCCCCAGCCAGACATTTGACCTCCTAGGCAGTTCTCCTTAGCTACGAAGGGAGATCCCACAATCCTTTTACTCCTGTATCCTTCCTAAATCTAAAAACCAGAATCACATGGCTGAAGCTGCCAAGTTCTGTGAACTGCTTGGGATGGAGCCCTCCCACTTGCCCCTCCCACCCTGCATTGAATTACATTTGCATCAAGTTGTGTGTAGTTGTAGCTCTTGATGAGCAGCGAGTTCTTTGGGCCTCGCAGAGTTAGCTGGGTGGAGTCTTGGCCCTGAGGACGCCACTCCCCTTATTCCATTTTGTATCAGGACTCTCCTTATCTCTTTCTTCATAAGCTTTGGTTTCAACATTAAACTTCCTGATATTCCTTTTCTTTCCCACCTGTATATTTTGCATTTCTCTTTTGCCCTGCTTGCTCATTTTCACTGTAGAAACTTACACAAGAATGATTACTAAGAACCATGCAAGAGAGTCAGTATTAGGCTGTCTTGAAATCTCCTCTGCCAGAGAAATTAATCCATTGTTTGCAATTTTGCCTCAGGCAAAATGTTAAGACAAAGGCAGTCTTTGCTAAAATACCCCAAGAATGGCCTCTAGCCCAGGTGCTAAAATTGTTCCTCTCTGAACTCTCTTGAACCGGAGCAATGTCTTCCAAGCTCCTGCTGAGACTGGCCCTTTATGCTCTGCATATAGAATTCAACAGCTTTCATATTCCAAAGTCCCCTAATCTTCCCATATTCCTCCAAAGACCACACAGCAATAGTCCACCCAATGGTACTAGTTTCTGACTTAATTACTTTTTTATTGCTAAAATATCATGACCAAAACAACTTATAAAAGAAAGCATTTAATTGGCTTACAGTTTTAGAGGGTTGGAAGCCATGACCCATATGGTAGGGAGCATGACAACAGGCAGGCAGGCAGGCAGGCATAGCACTAAAGCAGTAGCTGAGAGCTTACAGTTGACCTACAAGCACAAGGCAGAGAACTACCTGGGAATAGTGTGGGCTTTTGAAACCTCCAAGCCTGCCCCCCCAACACACCTCCTCCAATAATACCACACCTCCTAACCTTCTCAAACAGTTCCACGAACTAAGGACCTAGTGTTCAAACATATGAGACTATCAGTGACATTTTCATTGAAACAATCACACACATACACACACACATGAATGTATTGTCAAATGACCACTGACTCCAATAAAAAAGCAAAAGAAAGCTCTCTGAGATTAAGAAGATATTTGCTGTATGTATGTACAATATCTGGGAGATTAAAAATAAGCAGAAACATAAGAAAATGCAAACGAGTCTGCTACTCCTAGAGAAGTGGATATGTGTTCTGAGGAAGGACCAAGAGACCTGGGTTGTCACCTCACCTCTTGCTCCTATCAGCTTTCTAACTACAGGCTTTTTACCTAGCATCTGTTGACATTTCTTCCTTATCTGCACAGTGGGCTATGATTTGCCATACCCCTATATGTGCATGGTGAGGGTCAGGTGACATCAGAATGCTACATCTCCGTGTGTTGTGGTGTCTCCTGCAGCTTCTAAGGTAGAAACTGCTGAATGGCATCCATCTTGGATGTTGGTAGTGATCTTACCTTTAAAATGCTCATGGACTCAGAACATGCATGCTTACATGCCTTTAGTTTTTTTTTTTCCCCCTGTGGACCATGCTTCACAGCACTACATGAATATTAAAGGTTACCAAATATTATGCATGGTCAAGAATGTCTAGTAATAGAACTTGGAAGGTTTGATTTGGATCTTTCTAGACGAGAAGGGTAGACAATAAGGGACAACACACTCTCCATTTTGTTTAGTTCTTCATCTTACAAACACATTAATAATTTTATTTTTAAAGAAGAACAGAAAACATCAGAATTATTAGTTCTCTTTAAGCCCTTTGTACCCCATTTATATGTCCACCTATGAGCCCTGTGGGAACCTGTGATGTTGAGTCTGCATCTTACAGGTGGGAAAAGCTTAACGAATAGAAATCAGGTCGTTTGCCATGGTCACAGAGCATGGAGAAGGTTGACTCAAATCCAGCAGGATTTGACCTCTTGACCTCTGCTCTGACTTCCAGGTGTCTATGGAAACTTCTCCTGAGAAAGGAGAGGTGACTGCGTCACCAGTGTCATGTGTGAGGAGAGGGTCTCCAACTGCTCATACAGTCCTTAAGTCTATTTAGGTTACAGAATTGGTTAGAAGGTAGTCACTCTCAAGCAGCAGGACTCATTAGTGGCAGAACTAGGCTGAATGCTCCTGCTGTGGTAACTTCACAGCTTCCGGCTGGCTGCTGCTGCTGCCATGAGTAACTTTACAGCTTTGATCCTTCCCATGTGCACAGGGACCCCCGGGTTCTTTTGACTTCCTGCTGCTTGTGCTGGCGGACATTCGAAATGACATCACAGAGCTGCAGGAGAAGGTGTTCGGACACCGGACTCACTCTTCTGCTGAGGACTTCCCCCTACCTCAGGAATTCTCCAGCTACCCAGAGACACTGGACTTTGGGTCTGGAGATGACTACTCAAGAAGAACTGAAGCAAGGGACTCCGAGGCCCGCAGAAACTTTTATCCATAGCATATCTATATGTTCACACCACCAGAAGAGAAGCATGCCTTTGGCCTTCCCTTTACTCTGTTTCCAAACCCTGTTTTCCAAGTTTCCTGCGCATCACATTAGCAATGGGAGGATGTGATGGGTTAACCTGCTGGTCTTGAAGAACCAATAGGTGGTTGACATCAGGGCTTTCTTTGACATCCTAGTTTTTCAAGAGCTTTTGGATTTCTGGGTTCATGGCTCCCATGGAATCTTAAACTTTGGCAGAGTGCAAAAGAGGGGGGAATGGCAATGTGGGTTCTTAGACTTGTAAGGTTCCTTCTACAAAGATAATTATGTTCAAATACTTGACCATTCATTCTCTACTGTCAGGAATAAGGCTTTTCATTTGTGGGGGGAGGGTGTGGAAGGAGCAACTGTGGAGAATGACATTGGTAGAACATGAATTTCCTTATCAATGTCACAGATTTAAAATTCTGCATCCTATTTTCCAGCTTGATGTTTATTTGTTTGTTTTTAAATTTGGTTACAGAAATGAGAAATTGGAAAGAATGTGTTCAGAGAGACAGAGAATTAGCCTTATATTTCCTGTCACATAGATTGCCACACTTTAAAATTCAGATATGATAATCATTGATTCGTGCAAATCCTACATGGAAATGGCAGTTCCTTTGTTTGTAGGGCTGGATCCTGTTTTCTAGGGCCCTTGGGGTGATGAAACACCCTGTACAAACTAGAACAGAGGGCTCCTGGAGCCCAGGACAGTTGAAGACTTTTTGGTCAAAAGAATTGTCCTGCTTTATACATGTTGATGATTTGTGAAATAAGATGACTGACTTTTAAGAAGTACAAGATGCCCTGGCACTGACAAGGTGGCCAGACCTGCCAGCAGGCCCTGATCCAGGCTGCATCAACGCTGGAGGGAAGTTACTGGCCTGGAATCTTGGCCAAGGATAGCATGGGGACATTGAGAGGTGCTTCATTAAAACTAGATTACCAGAGGCAGATTAATCTGCTCTTAAGAAACTTGAAGTCCTCACCCAGGGTCAGCCAAGCTTTCCAGCACACTTGGACTAACATACATTAGAGCGGTCGGTCTCTGAGATAGAGGAGGCAGAAGTTTTGCTAACTTATAATCGTTTTCCACTATTTCCCCCCAATTTGGTTAAAATCCCTGTCTTCTTGACTTTTTGTCTTGGGCCAGGTGGAAATGGCTTGGGGACAAGCACATTTCCCAATGTCTCCCTGAGTCCTTTCTTGAAGTACTTCTAGATCCCCAGGGAATCATGTTCCCAGAAAGGAGCAAGAGGCCAGCAGGTTGCTTCTTGGTGTCTCTGGGTTCTTGTTTCAGGGATCGGCTACCAGGTTCCTTAGTGAACACTTTCTCCTTGGGTGTGCAGCACGCTCCTTGATCTTGCTCACATGGTCACCCCCACCAGGGTCTCTGTTCGCTATCCTGCAGTGTCCCCTTATATTTCTTCTAGGAAGTTTGTGTTTGCATTTGTCTTTTCCCTATATCACTTAAGCCTCCATCTTCTCCCCACTCCTACTGTGACATCTTGTTGGAAGAAAACTTATTTGGTTTGCACAACACTGCACCATCCACTCTGCTTTCTGAGCAATGAGAAGGGGCTCTGTCTACAGAGCCAGCTGGAGCCTAGAGGTCTCTCACTTCCCTCCCCCTAGCTCCCCACTCTCTCATCCCTCTCTCCTGCTTCTCTTCCCTTCCCTCTCTTTTCTCTTTTCCTCTCCTCTTCCTTTGCCTCTTTTCTCCTTCTTTTCCTCTATCCCTGTCCTTGCTTCCCTGCCTTTGTCTCTCTCCAGTTCTCCCTTCAATTCTCTTTCTTGCTTCCTTCCTTCCTCCTTCCCTCCCTTTCTCCTTCCTTCCTTAGTTCTCTCCCTCCACTCCCTTCCCTCCCCTCCTACCTACCTACTTCCTTCCTTCCCTTTTTCCTTCCTTAGTTCCCTCTCTCCACTCCTTCTCTCTTTTTCTCCCTGCTTGCCTGCCTATCTTCCTACCCAGTTAGAAAGACAGGATTCCCGTGCACTCACGCTAAAATCCCCAGGGGCTGTCCACAAGCAGTTCATGATGAAGGCAAGCACACACTTGCATTGCTTGCTTGCTGTCTCTCCCTCCTTCCCCCCTCAGTCTCTCCTGAACCTGAGCATCATCACCACAGATGGCCTTGTCAACCATGGCTTCCTGAAGAGATGGATGCAACCACAGTCAAGTGCCACCTGGAATCTATTTAGTGCTTGCCTGCTTATAGAACCCATCATTTAAAGGGTGTGGATGGATGAATTCTCAAAACTGTGCACGGGCTCTGTGAGCAATGATTATGTCCATCTTTTTTTTATGAGGAATTTTATAACTACTTTTTATGTCTACTTTTTTTAGACAGTGAAATATATGTAGAAATATAATCTTTATTGCCAAATGCTGGTAAAACACAAGCACACTCCATGCTTGGGTAGAGGCCAGGATTCTGTACTAAAAGATCGAAGTCAAAGTCACAATATCTGGGCTTCATGAGTCTGTCTAGATAATTATCTCCAGGAAACCTAATAGCCTGTATTTTCTAACCTCGCTATGCTTAATATGCCATGCCAATTTAGATAATCATTACTCCTCAGATTTTCAAAACTTGGACTACTAACTACAGGACCAAAGCCTGTCCTCTACTTGTCCAAATTACGGATTTTAATGATAAAGCATTAGTGCTCACATTTCTTTTAGTTCTGGATAGAAAAATAAAAGTTTTCTATCTAAACAAACTTCTGCTCAAAATACCATAGGAAGGCCTTTGGGAGGAAGGACAGTTCAGAACAGATGTACCAAGTCACTTCATATTTCATGGGGAAAATGTTTTAGTTTTTTATATGCCCTTCAACCCTTTAGTAGAAATGTTCAACTTTTCTAATATTTCCACAAGTTAAGACTTGGTTGTGAATTGCCTCTGTGTTTATAAAGTGATGAGAATAAAAATTCACTGAGAATAATATAAAGAAGACTTGCATTTTAGTTCGGGAAAACTGAATTTTCCAGTCCCAGAGGGAAAAATAATCAGCTTTCCTGTGCCAGATAAGTGTTGGGAGCCAGGTGTGGTGGTAGACACCTGTAATCCCAGCACCTGAGAAGCAGAGATAAACAGATGGGAAGTTCAAGGTCAGCCTCAGCTATGTAATAAGTATGAGGCCAGCCTAGGCTACCTGAGAGCCTATCTCAAAGTGATGATTATGATGATATGATGATAATAAATAATAATAACTAGCAGAGGACTGAAGAGAAGGCTCAGAGGTTAAGGATGCTTGCTGCTCTTCCAGAGATCCAGAGCTCAGTTTCCAGCTCCTGCCTCAGGCAGCTCACAAAACTCCTATAAGCCCAGGTCCAGGTGATCTGTCGCCCTCTTCTGGCTTCCATAGCACCTGCACTCACATGCACACACACATAGATACACAGACACAGAATTACAAGTAAAGTCTTTTTTAAAGGAGTGGGTGCAAAGAGGATGCTGCCTTTTCTTGCTTTCTGTTATTTTCCAATAGTTGCTACAGAATTAAAGTCATATTGATGTGTGGAGTTAGTCCATTGTCCAACAGGAAAATAAGTGTCCAGTGATCTTGGATGGAAGGAAGAAATATTGTCCCCATCAAAGGCCAGGTGCAGAGCACCCTGGTAGACCCAGGTAGGTCATGTTGCCTTTCCAAGGTTCTGAACATCCTTGGACTTGGAAGTGCCACCATCAGGGATGTTGCTACAGAGCTTCTTCATGACCAGGGATCAAACTTGACCTTGAGGTCTCAGGAAGCAACCCTATATCTTATTTTGAGCATCATTTTCTTCCTCTTCCCAGACTCACAGAGACAGCCTCAGGAGCCTCCTCCTGCAAGCTTATCTTCCAGACAACTGTTCTAAAAGGGAAAGCTATTGGCTAGAATCTGAGCCAAACAATTACTAAAAGACCTCTATTCTATTCAGGGAAACACATGGGCCATTTCCTGACACAGTAATCATATATGTTTCACAACGTGTCAAAAATAATTTTCTATTTGGATGTTTTTTAAAGGCTGTAACTGATAAAGCTGAAATGGTGTGCTTTATATACTCTTCCTACAACTGTTGCTATCATAGAGAAACCATGGAAAAGGACATATGGGTTATGCATCCCTCGGGGAGCTCGGCATGTTTTGTTCAATTCCCAGAGCTTGTTCCCTGAGTGGTTCTTGAGTCTGTTTTTATTTCTCAGTAACTGGTCATATACTTCAGTATCTCTGTCCATTATTTATATCAGGTCTTATGAAAGTCAAACTGATATGCCAACAGTCATGGATGTAATACTATGAAGTGTGTTTGTGTGACTATATATGCGTAATAACAAAGTTATTTTTCTTATGTGGTTCTCCTGTGTTTTGTCCTGGCACTGCTGTAAAAGAAGTCATCCTCTGGCCAACTGAATATGGCACATCCATTACTTTTCTCATTGTATGCCAGAATGTCTGACACAGGGAATTTAAGGAAGTCCCCCCCCTTAGGGTTTGAGGGACACTTGTCACAGTGGGAAATCATGGTTACAGGTACCATGGAGGCTGATGACACTGCACCTGTAGTCAGGAAGCAGACATGCCTGCTTCCTTGTTGATTGTCAGCCTCTCTGAGAACTAAGTACCTATCCATCTTCCTCCTTCCTAGATTAAGGGGCCCTGGGATGGCTAAGGAGATGGCTTAGTTGGTAAAAATGTTTGCCATGCAAGCATAAGAACTCAAGTTCAGATCCCCAGCACCCACATAAAAAGCCAGGTGCTGCAGTATGCATCTGTAATCCCAGCCCAGGGGAGGTCGAGTCAAGGAAATCCTTGAGGCTTGCTTCTGGTTCAGTGAGAGACCTTATTTCAAAAAATAATGTCAAAACGATGAGGAAGACACCTCTGTTGACCTTTGGCCTCCATTTGCATGCATGCACACATATATACAAACACATGAGTGCATACATTGATATTTACACACATGCACACAT